TTTTTTTTTTTTTTTTTTTTTTTTTTAGGGCTCGTAAAATCGGATGCAAATGAGCGGAAATCCTACGAGAATTTATTTCTTTCGAATCCAATTTCGAGGATCATACTATCATTCCGAAGACCCGTTATCGCAAATTGCTCTCCGTTGACTGCATTCAACGTGGCGAGATATATTAAAGAAAATAACCAGCTATTCATACCATAACTGACTCACACCTGCGATATTTAGAAGAATTTCACGCTTCTCGGTATACATTTCCTTCATCGCGAATCTGAACGCGAATCTCGTCTCTTTAATTCTATACGATTCTACTTGAAACGTGTTGTTGATTATGGCCGCGGTTAAGGTAGATGAATTAACGTTATATTTTGAAAGAAATCTTTCGTCAATTTTTCGTCTCTTTTTATCATTTCCAGAAAATATTTAATCTACGTAGATAACGTTCACATTCACGACTATTTTTTTATAATGGAAAATAGATTATTTGAAATTTTATTCGAATGATCGATCATTTAAAATTTCTTTTTAATTATTCATATAACTAATTATCCGATGTTTAGTTATTCAAATGATTTATTATTCAAATAAAGATGGATGTATATTTGAATCAATGTATCTAACAATTTTTGTATTTCCGATTTCAAAAATATTAATTTATTTTTTGTTATACATCTTTTATTATACGTTATGTTAAAAATGTATTCCTTCGTATAAATTTGTATATACATCCATATTTGAAAATTGTTTAATTGTTTCTCACGTATTGATAAATTTAAATCATTTCGATTGATTATTCGAATAAATTTATCCGAATAATTCAGACATTTTGCTGTACTATTCTTGATTTTGAAAAGAATTTGAAAAAATTCTGAGATACTTATTGAAATTTTTATTTCATCAAAAAAAGAATTTAAAAGATTTTGTTTTTGAAAAATAAAAATTTCTTCGAAGAGATTGTGGATCGAAAAATTTTCTTTAACAAAATATTCATTATTATAAAAATATCTCATTATTTGTAATTATATTTAATTAAATCAAGTAATTGCGGTTGTTACGCTACATAAATTCATAACAAATTTTCAAGTCATTCAGAATGTTAATCAAGAAACACATTCAAGTCTAAATGTAACAGGAAGTCTTGTTTCTTTTATGACGTCAAAAAGATTTTCCAAGTTGTAAGGGAGAAAAGATTTTTTTTATCCTGTTTTTCATCGAATGAAATCGTATACATATATAATAATGAACACATTTAAATGCAGGATGTGTGAAACGTGTATGCAATTAAAACAAATTGCTCATCGTTAATCTGGTTAGGAAACTGTTCGACCGTTTAGAAAGCCAATTCGGGCTTTCAGCAATAACAGATGAATTATTTAACACTTTCGCGAGATCATCGTCCTTGTGTGATTTATTACGCGAGTGTCGATCATCCGAGATCGCGTTTAAAGTTTCGCGCGATTTACACAGAAAATATAAGAAACATATTTTGCGTGGCAAAATGTCATAAATCTTGCCACTAAATGAAAATAACTCGCGTTGAAGAGAAATTAAAATAAAAAATGATCGATTGATTAGTTTGTAAATGAAAAAAAAAAAACTAGTTTTTCCAGAACGAAGTGTCATAAATCTGTAATGAAAATGACGATAAAAAATTTATATCTTTAAAATTAACACCATTTCACTTTCGAAATTTTTCTAAACGGTAATTCTAAACGCTTTTAAATGCAAATAATGCGAATATAATCGATTCAACCGGATTTGAGAAACGATATGTTTAGGTTACCAAAATAAGGGTTAACCTAACCTAAAATTGCGAAGGAAAAAAGAAGAAGAAAAAAATTTACCAATACGTAGATAATATTAGTTCGATTAGTATGAAAGAGGAAGAGAGTTTTTTCGTTCGACAGTACAACAGTTTTAGCATAAGAGAACGCTCATTCATATGAAACGATTTGATGGTTCGAGAATTGTGTCAACGTGGTAATTAGATACCGTTAGTGTTACTACACTGCCTCATCGAGGAGTTACATTCGATCGATCGCATTCACGTAGTATCGTGTTAGAGCGCAATAACGATCTACTAGGCGAAATATATATTTCATTCGATCGAATAAATCAATGACGATTAGACGATAATTAGACGCGATAACAGTCAAGTATCGTCGATCGTAAATATTGTTCGTTCTTTTTTTTTCACGATCGCAGATCATAAAAATAAATTAGAATAAATTATTAATAATTGTAATTCGTGTTATACTGGATAATTTATATAATGCGTGACATAATATCTTCTAATTTTTAAAACTTACAATAAAATCAATGATTTGGGCGTGTCGAATAATAATAAAGTTTAATAGCTGAATTATTTTATTCAGTATCGACTTTTATCGAATTACATTGATACGTACCAAACGATTATTAGTTCAAACTTGCAGTGATTAATATTCATTTCTACTAATTTTTTTTTTCTTTTTTAAAAACTCGTAAACATAATTGAAGATATTCTTTTATTTTTAGTAATTAATTTTTTTCAATTTCGTTAATAACATATATTTTCACTTAACGATAACAAAAATATCAATAATATTGTTAAAACAATAAAAATCATGTTTACTCTTTTAGTAAGTAAATACGCGCTGTTAATTTGTGCAAGAAATGCAACTGTACTGCCACGTGTTTCTTTATCTATAACCATAATTCTATGCCTTTCAACTAGCGCATTCGATCAGGAATGTTGAATGAGAATACATTACTAATCGTAACAAAGCCTAGCGCTCGTAGATACGAAAAGGACAAACAATTTGTGACGCAAAGGCGCATTTTATCTTGGAATTAGTAATAAATAGGTTAATAAATAATTAATAATCGTATGCGATCGTTGAACGATATTTGTAAATCGATGTAACGAAATGAAGTAAGAAATAGAAGAAGTGGAAGCACGAAATATGATTTTCCTAAATCTTTCAAAATTTTCAATTTCGTAAAAGTTTTTATATTGGAAAAATATTTGCATCTATTTGAATAATTATTTTAAACGTTCAATTAATATATTCATTTTAAAAAAAAAAACAAACGAAAATTTTTTTATAATGTTATCATGTTTCAACAGTTACGTTAATTAAGACATAAATATTCATCTATGCATAATCATAAATATTAATATTATATACGTTATAACTTAAAATCATTTTATTTATTTCATTTTATAATTAGACGATTATTAATTTTCGAATTCTAATGATATAATTTAAAATAAATAACTATCAATAGTTTACGTATTATTTTTGACGATTATATAAATATTGATTAAAATCAATAATAATTAATATAAAATTAATGTATAATGTTTAAATTATCAATTGTAAATTTATAAATTATCAAAATTAATCGAAATTGCAATTAATTCAAACTCGATTTTTACCTAACCTCAAAATGCATCAAAATCAAGAATCAAGAATTGCGCGAATACGAATTTCTCCGAATTATTACTGCGAAAGTAATATTTATATCAGTTTTCGTAAAGCACGTTATGTAATGTTAACGAACCAGCAAAATTTTACGCGGTATACGGTTTTTCCACTCTTACTCGAGAAATTGTTCGTGCAAAGATCCGTATATATAATTTCGAATCGAATTTAATTTAAAATTGATTTGATCTTTTCAGAAACAATTTTCTTTGAAAAAAAGATGGAAAA